GGAGCCCCAGGAGGCCCCAGAGAGCTTCAGGAGGCCGCAGGACGCCCAGGACAGGCCCCAGGGGTCCGCAGGAGATTCCCAGGAGGCCCCCCTATCAGAACGTGTCAAGGTAATGCAAATCCGGTGTCCATTCGTTGATTTTTCCCCAAACAGCTTGCTGAACGGGGTGCTGTTGTGATAGAAGCTAACTCCGGCCGAGGGAAGGCGGAGCAGAGACATCCTCACACACATTTTATGGTTTTGGCCGTTTCGCTTGAGACATCCTCACAACTCTCGTTTCTGAGTTGGCCGGGATTGGCCGTTTCGCCTGAGATATCCTCGAAAAGCTGCGCTCCGGGACGCCGCGCGAGAGGTGGTCCGGGCCGTTTCGCTTGAGACATCCTCGAAACTCTGAGCCCCGAGGTGCCGTGCGAGAGGTGGTCCGGGCCGTTTCGCCTGAGACATCCTCGAAACTCTGAGCTCTGCGATGCCTTGCGCGAGGTGGTCCGGCCCGTTTCGCCTGAGACATCCTCGAAACTCTGACTTCGGAGATGCCGCGCGAGAGGTGGTCCGGCCCGTTTCGCCTGAGACATCCTCGAACTTCTGAGCTCTGAGATGCCCTGCGCGAGGTGGTCCAGCCCGTCTCGCCTGAGACATCCTTGCAACTCTGAGCTCTGAGATGCCGTGCGCAAGGTGGTCTGGCCTGTTTCGCACAAGACATTCTCGCAACTCTGAGCTCTCAGATGCTGCGTAAGAGGTGGTCCAGCCTGGGGGCCCAGAAGACCACATGTTACATATCCTCCATGGGACCCTGCGAGCCTCAGGAGGCCCCAGAGAGCTCCAGGAGGCCGCAGGACGCCCAGGACAGGCCCCAGGGGTCCGCAGGAGATTCCCAGGAGGCTCCCAGGAGGCCCCAGGAGGCCCCTATCAGAACGTGTCAAGTTAATACACATCCGGTGTCGATTCGTTGATTTTTCCTGCTCTTGTGCCCCCCCCCTCCATTTTGAGGGGCCCAAGCGGCCACAGGTTAGATATCCCCCCTGGGAGCCCCAAGAGGCTTCAGGAAACCTCAGGTGGAGTTCAGGAGGCCACAGGAGGCCCAGGAGGAAGCTCCAGGAGGTCCCCAGGAGGCCCCAGGAGGCACCAGGAGGCCGCAGGACGCCCAGGACAGGCCCCAGGGGTCTCCAGGAGATTCCCAGGAGGCTCCCAGGAGGCCCCAGGAGGCCGCCTATCAGAACGTGTCAAGTTAATACACATCCGGTGTCGATTCGTTGATTTTTCCTGCTCTTGTGCCCCCCCCCCCCCTCCATTTGGAGAGGCCCAAACGGCCACAGGTTAGATATCCCCCCTGGGAGCCCCAAGAGGCTTCAGGAAACCCCAGGTGGAGTTCACGAGGCCACAGGAGGCCCAGGAGGAAACTCCAGGAGGTCCCCAGGAGGCCCCAGGAGGCACCAGGAGGCCCCCGCAACTCGGAGCTCTGAGACGCCGCGCTCGAGGTGGTCCGGCCCGTTTCGCCTGAGACTTCCTCGCACCACGTTTCGCCCGAGACATCGTCGCAACTCTGGGGTCCGAGATGCCGCGCGCGAGGTGGTCCAGCCCGTTACGCTGGAGACATCCTCGCAACTCTAGGCTCCGAGATGCTGTTCGGGATGACGAGGAGGTGGAGGAGGAGGAGGAGGAGGATGAGGAGGAGGAGGAGGAGGAGGAGGAGGAGGAGATGGAAGGGAGAAGGAGGAGGCGGATGATGTGCATGAGGGAGCAGGCAGGAGGAGGGGGAGGCCCCAGAGAGCTCCAGGAGGCCGCAGGACGCCCAGGACAGGCCCCAGGGGTCCCCAGGAGATTCCCAGGAGGCTCCCAAGAGGCCCCAGGGGGCCGCCTATCAGAACGTGTTAAGTTAATATTCATCCGGTGTCGATTCGTTGATTATTCCTGCTCTTGTGCCCCCCCCCCCCCCTCCATTTGGAGAGGCCCGAACGGCCACATGTTAGATATCCCCACTGGGGGCCCTAAAAGGCTTCAGGAAACCCCAGGTGGAGTTCACGAGGCCACACGAGGCCCAGGAGGAAGCTCCAAGAGGTCCCCAGGAGGCCCCAGGAGGCACCAGGGGGCCCCCGCAACTCGGAGCTCTGACACGCCGCGCTCGAGGTGGTCCGGCCCGTTTCGCCTGAGACTTCCTCGCACCACGTTTCGCCCGAGACATCGTCGCAACTCTGGGGTCCGAGATGCCGCGCGCGAGGTGGTCCAGCCCGTTACGCTGGAGACATCCTCGCAACTCTAGGCTCCGAGATGCCGTTCGGGATGAAGAGGAGGTGGAGGAGGAGGAGGAGGAGGAGGAGGAGGAGGAGGAGGATGGAAGGGAGAAGGAGGAGGCGGATGATGTGCATGAGGGAGCAGGCAGGAGGGGGAGGCCCCAGAGAGCTCCAGGAGGCCGCAGGACGCCCAGGACAGGCCCCAGGGGTCCCCAGGAGATTCCCAGGAGGCTCCCAAGAGGTTTCAGGAAACCCCAGGTGGAGTTCAGGAGGCCACAGGAGGCCCAGGAGGAAACCCCAGGAGGTCCCCAGGAGGCCCCAGGAGGCACCAGGAGGCCCCCGCAACTCGGAGCTCTGACACGCCGCGCTCGAGGTGGTCCGGCCCGTTTCGCATGAGATTTCCTCGCACCACGTTTGCCCGAGAAATCGTCGCAACTCTGCGGTCCGAGATGCCGCGCGCGAGGTGGTCCAGCCCGTTACGCTGGAGACATCCTCGCAACTCTAGACTCCGAGATGCCGTTGGGGATGAAGAGGAGGTCGAGGAGGAGGAGGAGGAGGAGGAGGAGGAGGAGGAGGAGGAGGAGGAGGAGACCAGCGTGTGAACTGTGTGTCCCGACGCCCGCCTAGTCAAGCGGGGGAGGGGCCTCGGAGCCTGGCGGGCGCGGCTCGGGCGCGTGGCGGCCGAAGGGCGCCGCGTCGAAGATCGGGCAGCCATATTGTTATTCAGAGGGCGGCGGAGGGGGGCAGCAGCGGCAGGAGGCTCAGCAGCACGAGGAAAGGACGGGGGAGAAACAACGCGAGGACAGACAGAGAGTGAGGCGCGGGCAGGCTGCGAGGGCTGCACAGCGAGGGGAGCAGGGGAGGAGCACGCAGCAGCAAAGGCCGAGCTCAGCGGAACGAAGGACGGGGGGAGAAAAGACGACAGGGACAGGCCTTTTGTATCAGGACACTCATGGGGGCGAGGAGCACGCCGTGGCCGTCGGACGAGGCGAGGGAGTCGCCATCTGTGAGGCACCCCAAGTCGCAGGGGTCGGCGGAGTAGCACTCAGGGTCCCCGACGAGCAAGGAGGAGGCCACGACAAGGCAACAGAAGCACAGGTCGGCCTCGGTGTAGCCGCACCAATCGGAGTCGTCGCCAATATGCATCCACGAAGAGAACGTCTCACCACCAGAGACGCCACAGGGCCAGCGGCTCCCCCCTCGCAACATACTCGAGCCTGTGACAGTGGGCTCGAGGAGCACCCGCGCACAGGACTTTGCGTTCTGACAGCCTCACGCCCAGGACGATCATGACGGGGGTCGCAGTGCACCAGAAGAAACCGCTCCTCGCAATTCAGTCTAGATGCCTGGATCGACGGGCTCGAGGAGCACCCGCCGCCAGGACTTAGAAACAAGAGGGATCCGAGACAAGCCCTCGCAATTCACTCTAGATGCCTGGGCAGGTGGGCTCGGGGAGCACCCACTGCCAGGACTCAGCGTTCTGACTTCATCTGCCGAAGAACCACTCGAGTCAAGTGAGCAAGATCGTTCGGGAGTCGCTATCAGCGTGGTAGGCGTCGGCGGAGCCTGGGGGCGGAAGTCCATCATGACCAGGTCATCAGAGATCTCTCCCTGCTCGAAGGACAGATCGTCGTTACTCAACGGCGGCGTGGCAAGTGCTGTCGACGCGGTGTCAGTATCGGAGTCGGAAGATACAGCAGGAGTCAATCTCGGCCCACACGAAGTCGCCGACGCCGTAGAACTCGCGGAAGAAGAGCCAGACGACCCCGCGGACGAGGAGCAGCGAGATGCATCACCCTGCCAGTCACGGCGGCCAAGGCGAACTCGCTCGGCGTCAGACAGTACCGCTGGACAGGCCATCAGCATAGATCTCACCCCAGAAAGAGCACACGAGTAGCACTGGGTCGCGTCCAGTGGCCAGTCCGCAATCAACTTCGTCTGGTTGTACATCGCATAGGCAGCAGCCAGGAAAGCGTAATCCTCGATACGAGGAGCCCACAGTCCCCACCGACGCAGCACAGGAGCAGGAAACGGCCGAGCCAGCGCGCGGCGCAAGGCCGCCAGCATGGGCCTGCACCTCGCATAGTGAGCCAGAGCATCTCGCGCATCGCAGCCATGCGCGCACTGGCGCTGTCCAAGGGGATGTAAGATCCGCGCCGAGGTCATCCAGGCATCCATCCACGTGCGCATCGCCGCCCACGCCCAGGAGCACGAGCAGCGACGGAGCAAGGGCATGATCAGGCCCCAGTCCACCAGTGCAAACATCTGCTCGCGCCGCGGCAACAGCTGGACCAATCTGGATGTGATGATCCGACGCAGCGGTGACGATCCATGAACTGCCGCGCGAAGGACCCGATGCGCAGCACGCTGTGGACGGGGACGACGACCTTCAGCAGCAAGAAGCTCCGCGCGTGCCGCCTCGACCGCAAGGGCAGCCATCACCGCGAGAGGGCCTCTCATACGTGCGAGCTCCGCCTCCTCCAGCGTCTCCGCGAACGAGATCGAGCGCCAGAAGTTAGGGCACGGACGTCCACTAGCCAACGTACATAGCGTACGCCATGGGCCATTATGTTGGACATGCGCACGCATCTGATTCAGCACTAAAGCATAGTCGGGGAACGTGACCAACGCAGAGCGGGCCAGAGTGGCCATGCCCAAGTGACCCCACCTGACGACACGCGGCCCACCCCAAGCCTCAGCTTAAGTCCAAGCCGCCAAAGAGAAAGCGCCGAGTGGAACACGAAAGGCTTGTGCCAGCACTAGGAGCCCCACCTTCAGCACCTCTGTCGGCATGGCGCAGAACTGAGCGACATAAGAGAGTGTGGCAACGACTCTCGTATTGTAGAGGACCGCTGAGACGCTCGTGGGCGTCGCGCCTCGACCAATAGCTTGAGCCCGCAAACGGAGCTTCGCCAACGGATCACACCACGACCGAAACGAGTCAACGCCAGGCCCCAGCCACAACCCCAAGTACAATAACGAGTCGCACACCTCGAACTCGGCCCACCTAGGAACTAGAACGCTCAACTTGTCACTCACCGCCGAGACCAGCCGATCGGAGAACCGAGCCGAGAGCGGGACTACCTTACACTTCGCAACTTCGAGGCAGAGATTCGCATACTTCTCCGCCAGCATCATCACCCGATACAGGATACACAAATCCGATAACGCCCGCAAGGCTCCCCGCGTATCGTCAGCACAGGCCCGCGCCAGGCCGCGTGCCCGCAGCTCAATCGAGGCCGCCAAGCCATATAAGAATGAAGGCGTCCCAAGAGCGAACAACGAGCCCGACAATCCATCCCCTCGAATAATGCCACTGCGCGCCCAGAACAGAGTCACCAGGACCCCTCGAACCGACGCCGCGCCCTCGATCGCAGCATACATAAAGCCCACGAACGCCAGGAAGAAATCAGGGAGCTGGAGAGAGGCAAGCACACGCAACACATAGTCTTGGTAGAGCGACGGGAAGGCCTGGCCGAAGTCCAGGGAGAACAGCAGGGGGGCGTCCCAGGAACCAGGCCCACGCACGGACAGTTGACGAGCATACCCGTCAATCTCAATGATGTTCAGCCCGAAGTTACGATTAGGCACAAACCCACGTTGGTTAGAAGGTACAACAACAACTAGTACTGGACGGATCGATCGATTCATCACGGCGGACAAGAGCTTTACGTCGGTGTTCCTTAGCCCCAGGACCCTAACTTTGTCAGGAGAGCGAGAGCAGCTCCCATCCCGAAGTTCGGTCTCCGAAGGAGCTTTAAGGAGAAAAGCCTGGAGCGTGATACTGGCAGAGTCGAAGAGCGCCTGGCCAGACCCGACCCACCCCAGCGCCCGCCGCAAGATCGTCTCGCCGAACGGGTCGGCACTCCACGCTGCATACGGTAGACCGTCGATCCCCGTGGCCGAGTCTTTGGCATGGTGCATAGCACAACGCAGCATACGCAGGGAAGGGGGCGGCAAGGACAGCGACGAAATCGACGGCAACCAATCGGCACAATACTGGGCAGCCCCTTCCTGGTCCCACGGCTTTTTCGAAAACACTGGCTTCCAATGCTCTCCCAGAGCTTTAGTGCGTTCCGCAGGGTCCGAAACCGTGGCACCAGCAGATACATGTGCAGCAGCAAGCGTGATGCGCCTACCAATCGGAGACCACAGCCTAGCCTTCCGCTCCAAAGCCTTGGCCTGCATACGAAGACGGCGCGAATCACCCTCACGAGCACGACGATCCTCGATCTCGGCTTTCTGCTGGTCTAACGCTTCACGCTGGATTTTCGCCGACCACTCCTGGAACGAAGGCGGGTGGCGGAGGCGGACGTCAGAGCCGCAGATCTCCAAGAGCTCCTCAACCATGGGGTGGGACTCGAGCATCTTCCGAGCCAGTCTCTTATCTTGGCGCCAGACAACACGAGCTACCACTCGCGCTACCTGGAGGAGCGCCCCGGGGTGGTTGGGCCTCGATTTGAAGAGCTGATCACGAGTCTCAACGCCGGCAATCCTCATCAACTCTTTATAGAGCTCGACCTGGAACGGGGGCGACATGGCATCCCAGTTCGCGGCCTCGACCAGGCCTCGAAGACGAGCACGAAAAGCTGGTTCCTGACAAATGTGTTCAGGCAGAGGGCGTTGAGAGGGTGGGCGAGCAAGTCGAGGAGCGAGAGAGAGACGACTACAGCAACATGATCAGATATTTCTCGGTCCGAGACCTCTTCCGCCAACCCCGCCGTTGAGGTCAGCAACTGAAGCTGGCACGCTTGCCAACCCGCAAGCGAGCAGAAGAAGCGGTCGATCGCCGCCGCCGCACCTCGGCCACGCTCGAAGCGCGTCGGCTCGCTGCCCTCGACCTCCAGCATGCGCCCGAGAGCTTCGCGCCATCGAGCTGCGTGCGCGTCGTGACGTCGAGCGCTCCGTCGAACAGCCACCTCTGGAGAACCGGCGATCAAGGACTCGCCCGCCGAGAAGTTAAAACCGCCATTCACGACCACGAAGTGCTTATCAGGCGATTCGGCCGCAGCCGCCAGCTCCCGCACGATGGTCTGGCTCACGAAGGATTCCTCCTTCACAGTCAGCTCGTGGTTGTGTGCATTGAAGACTGCGAGGCATGACTGCGCAGAATGCAGCGAAACTTGAAGGACACGCCCAGGTACAAGAGCCACCTTTTCCACCCGAACAGGCTCTCCAGCTACCAGAGCAAGCTGAGGAATCAAAACTGCAACCCCGCCACGTATACGACCAGCACGATCATCACCACAGAAGCTCGCGACAAGCGTCCCCTCAGGGTTAACGAAATTCACGAAAGCACGAAGTTGGTGTTCATCTCGATGGGCTTCTTGAAGGGACACCACTGTCTCCGACGGCTTCAGCCGAGCTAAGTAGTCCCTCTCCAGGCTCGCCTTCTCCCCAGCAGCCTGCAACAAAGCTCTCGCATCCCACGTCGCGAACCTGAGAGCCCCAGGAGGGACTCCAGGACGGGGCCGGCAGCGCATGAAAAGGGCGCAGGCGCTAAAGGCACCAGGTCGGCTCAGGTGGCCCCTGGGAGATCTCCTCGGTCGCGCGCGCCACCATGTCCTTCGAGAGGCCGTGCTTCTGGAGCGCCCCCTCGTTCCACCAAAGCTCAGGCGGTGTCTCCCGCCCCGCAGCGACGCGAACTTGAAGGATCCTGTCCAACTTGATGGGCAGCACCCCGAGGTCGCGGTCCATGAAAATGCGGTTGGCGTCGCCGCACTCAGCCAAAATGGCATCACGGCAGCGGCGAAGCGTAATCTCGGCCTTGATTTGCTTGGGATTCTTGTCGAGGCCCATGTGAACACTCGTGCGTGACGCAGAGCCAGGGGCGTCACAGAAGAACGACTTCCAAGTGTGGCCATCCTTGAGACCCCCCAGCGCGCGGACGACCTTCCTGGCGGCGGGCTGGGGCAGCCCGGGGAAACGTGCGGCGAAGCGCTTCGACGGCTCCTGACCCTGAACCACAATCTTGCACTCGCTGGAGTCGAAGCCCACGTCGGACAAAAACTTGTCGAGGCACACAGTGACCGCCTCGAGCGAGGTGACCGCGACCAGCACCGCGGGGTCAACCTCCCTAGTGAAGCCAACAGGCGGCTGGGCAGGAGGCGGTTGGCGCTCCTCAGCAACGGCCAGCAATTTCCTGAACTCTTCCATCTCCCGCTTGAGCTTCGTGATCTCGGCCTCGGACGAGTCAGCGCGCTGCTCGAGGGCGTTGACTCTAGCATTCGTCTGATCCAGCTGGGTTTACATGCGACGGTGGAAGGCATCGAGCTGTGGCCGAACGGCCTGCTGCACCTGCTGGTCAATATCCGTAGACTGGTTTGCAACTTCCTTTCGCAGCACGCCGATGGCGGACATGAGGGTCTGATAGTTGGTCGCCACTGTCTTGCCCACTGAGGAGCTGATATCAGTAGTGAGTGACTCGCGCATGCCTGCAAACTCAGATTGACAAAGTTCTCGAAGATACTCGAGAGGATAACAATCATCGTCATCACCCAGCTCATCTTCTTGCCCGTCAGTGGCACGACGCTTGCGCCCGATGAAGCCCTTGCCCTTGCCGTTGGCGGCCTTGGCAACATGCCCCTGCGACGGAAACGTCGGAGCCTCCTCCATGGCAGCAGCCACATCTCGCATCTCCTGGGACGTGAGGACAGGGCCATGACTCGCCATGAAGCACGAAGAGCGTTCGAGCTAGCAGGAACATGAAAAACATCCGTTTACCCACCGCCCCGAGCGCAGGGACGATGCAAAACACTGCCAGACCACAGGGGTCTTGCCTGCCGCGGACTAGCGGTATCCACTTGTTTCCCTGAGGAACTTGGCATCTTGAGCCAAAATGGCTACGGAGGAGGAGGAGGAGGAGAAGGAGAAGGAAGGGAGAAGGAGGAAGAGGATGATGTGCATGAGGGAGCAGGCAGGAGGAGGGGGAGGAGGAGGAGGAGGGAGAAGGAAGGGAGTTGCAGGAGAGGACCTAACGGGAAGCGAGTGCGATGTGGACTTGTCAAAACGTGTGCGAAAGATTGTCCAACCCGTTTCGTTTGAGACATCCTTCCAATACTGAGCTCCAAGATGTCGCTCTCCGGCCCGTTTCGATTGAGCCATCCTCGCAATGCGAGGCTCGAAGATGTTGCGCGCGAGATGGTCTGGCCCATTCTGCCTGAGACGTTTCGTAGCACAGGAGCTCCAATCACAACCTCTCTCATTCCTTCTCCCGCCTCCCTCTTCCCACTTCCCGCCTGGTTCCTCTTCCCTCCTCCCTCCTCCCGCCTCCCGCCTCCTGCTGCTGCGCCTCTGCCTCCGCCTCCCCGTCCCCGCCGTCGTCGTTTCTGCCGCCTCAGCATCCGTCATGCGCGCACTGCCTTCCGCCCTCCCCAGACATCCGACGTCACGATTTTTCTTTTGAGACATGCGCCGCGTACCTCTCGATATCATCCCCGAGGGAACCATCACGACATGCCCCCCCCGCTTCCGCGCCCTCCCCCGCTTACTCTTAAAGTTGCTTCTGAGTTCACAGCATGGCGGTGGAGCCTCTCACAGTGCCGACCCGACAGCTTACTCGTCGACCAGGTGCGACCTGGGACATCCTCGCAACTCTGGGCTCCGAGACAGGGTTCCCCAAATAGGATTTTCATATTCCTTTTAGCGACGTCTCAAAACGTGCCGGAGGAGGAGGAGGAGGAGGAGGAGGAGGAGGGAGCAGGCAGGAGGAGGAGGAGGACGAGAAGGAGGAGGAGGAGGAGGGATGAGGAATGGAGTTGCATGAGAGGGCTTAACGGGAAGCGAAAGGTAGAACGGCCCGTTTCGCTTGGGGCATCCTTCCAACACTGAGCTCCGAGATGCCGCACGCGAGGTGGTCCAGCCCGTTTCTCCCGAGCCATCCTCACAATGCGAAGCTCCGAGATGCCGCCATGCGCGCCCTGCCTTCCGCCCTCCGCAGACATCCGACGTCACGATTTCTGTTTCGAGACGTGCGCCCGTGGACCTCTCGATCTCGTCCCCGGGACTGGTTCTTCGTCAGGGTTCTTCGAGATGCTGCGCACGAGATGGTGTGCCCCGTTCTGCCTGAAACCTCTCTCATTTCTCCCACCTCCCTCCTCTTGCCTCCCGCCTGCCTCCTCTTCCCTCCTTCCTCCTCACGCCTCTCGCCTTTCGCTGCTGTGCCTCTGCCTCCGCCTCCCCGTCGCCGTCTCCGTCATTTTGCCGCCTCAGCATCCGCCATGCGCGCCTTGCCTCCCGCCGTCCCCAGACATCCGACGTCCAGAAGTTTGTTTCGAGACGTGCGTCCGCGGACCTCTCGATCTTATTCCCCAAACAGCTTGCTGAACGGGGTGCTGTTGTGATAGAAGCTAACTCCGGCCGAGGGAAGTCGGAGCAGAGACATCCTCACAACAATTTTATGGTTTTGGCTGTTTCGCTTGAGACATCGTCACAACTCTCGTTTCTGAGTTGGCCGGGATTGGCCGTTTCGCCTGAGACATCCTCGAAAAGTTGCGCTCCGGGACGCCGCGCGAGAGGTGGTCCGGGCCGTTTCGCTTGAGACATCCTCGAAACTCTGAGCCCCGAGGTGCCGTGCGAGAGGTGGTCCGGGCCGTTTCGCCTGAGACATCCTCGAAACTCTGAGCTCTGAGATGCCTTGCGCGAGGTGGTCCGGCCCGTTTCGCCTGAGATATCCTCGAAACTCTGACCTCGGAGATGCCGCGCGAGAGGTGGTCCGGCCCGTTTCGCCTGAGACATCCTCGAACTTCTGAGCTCTGAGATGCCTTGCGCGAGGTGGTCCGGCCCGTCTCGCCTGAGACATCCTCGCAACTCTGAGCTCTGAGATGCCGTGCGCAAGGTGGTCCGGCCTGTTTCGCACAAGACATTCTCGCAACTCTGAGCTCCCAGATGCCGCGCAAGAGGTGGTCCAGCCTGGGGGCCCAGAAGACCACATGTTACATATCCTCCCTGGGACCCTGGGAGCCCGCCTGAGACATCCTCGAACTTCTGAGCTCTGAGATGCCCTGCGCGAGGTGGTCCGGCCCGTTTCGCACAAGATATTCTCGCAACTCTGAGCACTGAGATGCCGTGCGCAAGGTGGTCCGGCCTGTTTCGCACAAGACATTCTCGCAACTCTGAGCTCCCAGATGCCGCGCAAGAGGTGGTCCAGCCTGGGGGCCCAGAAGACCACATGTTACATATCCTCCTTGGGACCCTGGGGGCCCCAGGAGGCCCCAGAGAGCTCCAGGAGGCCGCAGGACGCCCAGGACAGGCCCCAGGGGTCCGCAGGAGATTCCCAGGAGGCTCCCAGGAGGCCCCAGGAGGCCCCCCTATCAGAACGTGTCAAGTTAATGCACATCCGGTGTCGATTCGTTGATTTTTCCTACTCTTGTGGCCCGTATTTTGAGGGGCCCAAGCGGCCACAGGTTAGATATCCCCCCTGGGAGCCCCAAGAGGCTTCAGGAAACCCCAGGTGGAGTTCAGGAGGCCACAGGAGGCCCAGGAGGAAGCCCCAGGAGGTCCCCAGGAGGCCCCAGGAGGCACCAGGAGGCCCCCGCAACTCGGAGCTCTGAGACGCCGCGCTCGAGGTGGTCCGGCCCGTTTCGCCTGAGACTTCCTCGCATCACGTTTCGCCCGAGACACCGGCCCGTCTCGCCTGAGACATCCTCGCAACTCTGAGCTTTGAGATGCAGTGCGCAAGTTGGTCCGGCCCGTTTCGCATAAGACATTCTCGCAACTCTGAGCTCCCAGATGCCGCGCAAGAGGTGGTCCAGCCTGGGGGCCCAGACGACTACATGTTACATATCCCCCCTGGGACCCTGGGAGCCCCAGGAGGCCCCAGAGAGCTTCAGGAGGCCGCAGGGCGCCCAGGACAGGCCCCAGGGGTCCCCAGGAGATTCCCAGGAGGCTCCCAGGAGGCCCCAGGAGGCCTCTTATCAGAACGTGTCAAGTTAATGCACATCCGGTGTCGATTCGTTGATTTTTCCTACTCTTGTGGCCGGGCCCCGACGGCCACATGTTAGATATCCCCCCCTGGGAGCCCCAAGAGGCTTCAGGAAACCCCAGGTGGGGTCCAGGAGGCCACAGGAGGCCCAGGAGGAAGCCCCAGGAGGTCACCAGGAGGCCCCAGGAGGCCCCAGGAGGCCCACGCAACTCGGAGCTCTGAGACGCCGCGCTCGAGGTGGTCTGGCCCGTTTCGCCTGAGACTTCCTCGCAGCACGTTTCGCCCGAGACATCGTCGCAACTCTGGGGTCCGAAATGCCGCGCGCGAGGTGGTCCAGCCCGTTACGCTGGAGACATCCTCGCAACTCTGGGCTCCCAGATGCCCTGCGCGAGGTGGTCCGGCCCATCTCGCCTGAGACATCCTCGAACTTCTGAGCTCTGAGATGCCCTGCGCGAGGTGGTCCGGCCCGTTTCGCACAAGACATTATCGCAACTCTGAGCTCCCAGATGCTGCGCAAGAGGTGGTCCAGCCTGGGGGCCCAGAAGACCACATGTTACATATCCCCCCTGGGACCCAGGGAGCCCCAGGAGGCCCCAGAGAGCTTCAGGAGGCCGCAGGACGCCCAGGACAGGCCCCAGGGGTCCGCAGGAGATTCCCAGGAGGCTCCCAGGAGGCCCCAGGAGGCCCCCTTATCAGAACGTGTCAAGTTAATACACATCAGGTGTCGATTCGTTGATTTTCCCTGCTCTTGTGGCCCCCCCCCATTTTGGAGGGCCCCGACGGCCACATGTTAGATATCCCCCCCTGGGAGCCCCAAGAGGCTTCAGGAAGCCCCAGGTGGGGTCCAGGAGGCCACAGGAGGCCCAGGAGGAAGCCCCAGGAGGTCACCAGGAGGTCCCAGGAGGCCCCAGGAGGCCCCCGCAACTCGGAGCTCTGAGACGCCGCGCTCGAGGTGGTCCGGCCCGTTTCGCCTGAGACTTCCTCGCAGCACGTTTCGCCCGAGACATCGTCGCAACTCTGGGGTCCGAAATGCCGCGCGCGAGGTGGTCCAGCCCGTTACGCTGGAGACATCCTCGCAACTCTGGGCTCCGAGATGCCGTTCGGGATGAAGAGGAGGTGGAGGGAGGAGGAGGAGGAGGAGGAGGAGGAGGAGGAGGCATGTTTTAACATGCCATGCCAGCCCGCACTGGACGGGCACGCAATCGACCTTGGAAACCGCAGTGGGTCTAAAAACCCTGTTTGGGGATACTGCACTCCGGCTATAATATTTATTTGCTTCAAGCTGCTTATGATAGGCCTTGCACCATGCACCATGCAGGTTCACAGGGCCCTCATGTTTCTAGCGGACGTTCGCCCCCCTTGCCAGGGGTTATGCTGTATCCCTCGCCCCTTGGTTCCCCATTCCGGGGAATCCAAAATTCCGCTTGAAGGGGAGAGGGGGGGGGATGAGCTCACCGACGCGGCTCTGGAGCCTACTGGCCCTCTGCAACACGCTGGGTACAGCGCACCATACATGCAACCTGGCCCCGAGACGGTCCAAGCGCGTTGCCAGACGGCCGAGACAGCCTCAAGTCACCACAAGAGGCCCCCAAGACGCCCCCCCAAAGGCCCCAAGATGATCCCCAAGACGGCCTCAAAGGCAGAAACAATTGACTTCTCGACTGTGCCTGACATAGTTTCGCAGTCTCGCCTTCCCAAGCTTCTCAAAATCCAAGACGACCCGAGAGGCACCCAAGAACGGCCCCCCACATAACCCAAAAGACCCCCAAGACGGCCCAGAGACAGCCCCAGAGGGCTCCAAGAGGCCCCAAAGACGGCCAAAAAGGCCTTTTAAGAGGGCCTGACACAGGCACAACATGGGGGAACCCACAGGGAACCCGGAAGCCCTCCCCCACGAGATGACCCCGAGGACCCCGCCCATGCTTCCAAGCGGCCCCCATGAGGCCCCCAAGAAGCACCCAGAGGGCCCCCCAAGGCCCCTGGAGCCATCAAATGGCTTCCAAGAGGCCGCACCGAGGCCTCCAAAAGGCCCCGCAACAGACGCGGAGGAAGAGGATGACGAACTGGCAACAACTACACGCAGGCAGCACGACGGGAAGTGGGAAACAAGACACACGAAATCGGAAGCCAGACATGTCCTTTTCTGGGGTCATCCGAACGGCTAGCGCATCTTGTGTAATTACCCACGTTGCTTTGCGAGACGGGGACCTGGGACGGGAAGGTGTGTTGCCGCATCAGTGGCGCGTGCTGTGTTTACGCTGTTTCTCATCCTCCACATCCTCGCCCCTCCCCCATCTACCCCTGTGTCCTCTTCCAGCGCAATTCTGGAAGGGAGCGAGGAGAGCGGACACGTCCACCTCTTCCTCTTCCTGGTCCATTCCTTTTCCTTATAGAACTCTTCCACGTCGCACGGACGGACGTGTCCGTAGGCTGGGCCAGGCGTTTCGCCCGAGACCCCCTCGCCACGAGTGATCCTGAGGGATGAAATTTCCAGGGGTTAACGATGCAGCCTGAGTGGTTTTCAATACGTGGCTCTCGCCTTCGCGCCGCAGGAAGTCGTATTAAACAAATGCAGCAATGTGGATGATAAGCCTAAGTAGTGTTCAAACGGCTGTCTTCGCCTTAGCACCGCGCGCATTCGTCTTAACAACTTGCAGCAGATTCAAGAATGGAGGACAGCTTGTTTTCTACATGTGGCTCTCGCTGTAGCGGCGCGCACATCCATACGACTCAACCCTCACCGCCTTCTGCAGCAAACACTTTTCGGCGCACATCCATCCGACCCAACCCTCACCATCCTGTGTAACATATACAGATCAGCTCAAATCCACATGACCAAACACTCACCAACCTAATTAAAAAAAACTAGAATTCGGCGCACCTCCATACAACCTACCCTGTACCGTTCTGTACCCCAGGATATTCGGTGCACATCCATCCGACCCAACCCAGCCCATCCGATGTAAAGTATCAGTTTCGGTGTGCATCCATACGACCACACCCTCATCATCCTGCATTGAAAAATAAGAAACGGCACGCACCCATCCGACCCCACCCTCACCCGCCCAGATAAAACATACAACCCGGCGCACACCTATCCAACCCAACCCTCACCGTCCTAAGTCCTAAGTGGTAACTTATGTTCGGCGCGCACGTGCTGATCTTCAATGTCGACCCCCTCCTTGGCCCCGAAGGGACCCTGCGCACAAAAGACAATTCAAAACAATTAATTTGTAGCAGACACAGAACAAGCAAATACGTTTCGGACACCCCTCGCCGACTCCGATGTTGCACCCGAACGCTACCCAGGCTGCCCCAGGCGTTCCCGATCGCATCAATCCCTCCCTCATCTTCATCGTCCCATCGCCGCAAGAGGCCTCAAGGAGCAGATGAATTCAGATCGAGCTGACGCGTGGACCATAAACGGCTTTCACACTTGGGCTCTCGCTTCTCTGACGCCGTACACCATACTTTACTCCACCAAAGAACAAATAGAAGGCGGGTCGGTTTCAAAACGGGCTTCTCGCCCTGGCGTTGTGCATACTCGGCTTCCAGATTGTCTTAATCTGCGCGAGTGGATGGCGAGGCCTTTCCAAGACGGTGGGGGCATTAGACAAAGAATCCTGACATAAGAAATCCAGGGTTTCGAAGCTGGTGAAACTCCAATCGTGGATCGGCCATGGATATCACCGCCGCCCTCATCATGTAAGGAATCCTCAAGGGTCTGCACCCTCCTGGCCACATTCCTTGATGAAAGGCCACTCCGTAATGGGGTCTCCAATTGGCCTCGCGCACGGTCGAATACAGAACCCACAGTCTACACTCAAGTGACCCTTTTCTCGACCTCTACGACCCAGCGTTCCATATTGTGCAACAACTAACATGGATGGAGGGCGGCTCCTGCTTCGAAGCGGGGCTATCGCGGGGGACTTCCGCGGAGCATACGTCCAGGACTTTGACATCCTGCAGCGTTTAGACGGATGGAGGGCATGTGCTTCTCAAGATGGGACTATCCCTGGGCATCTTGGAAGGGCTCTCGCGTGGAACTTCTGCGGAGCATACGTCCACGACTTTGGCACCCTGCAGCGCGTAAACGGATGGAGGGCATGTGCTTCTGAACTGGCGCTGCCCTGGGCGTCCTTCAAGTGGGAAGAGGATCACAACCGGCGCCCTCGTCTGACTGGCGGACCGACCGGCCTCTCGTCATTCAAGGGGGGGCGCCTGCAGTGGAAAGGACTTGGATGGACTTATGAGGAGGGAACTTGGGACGGGAGGGTGTATTGCAGCATCGGTTGTTGCATCTTGGGTTTCCTCTGACCCTCCTCCTCCTCATCTTCTTCCTACTCCTCCTCTTCCGCCACCTCCGCCTCCTCGTCCTCCCTCACTACCTCCCTCCTTCATATCGAACCCAGAGATCTCTCGGAGCGTGTTCCGACCAGGGTTTCGAAGGGAACCCAACCGTGGCGACGAGGGCTCTGAAGGACCAGAAAGGGTGAACAGCATTAATTTCATCATCAGTGGGAGTGAGAGCACAAGGACATGGTGGGGGAGGAGGTGCAGGAGGAAGATGATGAGAAGGATGAGCTCCTCGAGCGTCTTCGAGGAAAACTCCGACACTATTGGCTGCGTCGTGGGAGAAGGGTCAGTGGGGATCTCGTCGACAAAGCGGGGCGACATGCTTCCCGCCAGGCCGGCCAGAGAGTCGCCCAGAC